AAGACTGGTATTGGATTATCTATTGTAGGTCTTATGACTGGTATTGGACTATCTATTGTAGGTCTTATGACTGGTATTGGATTATCTATTGTAGGTCTTATGACTGGTATTGGACTATCTATTGTAGGTCTTATGACTGGTATTGGACTATCTATTGTATTTCCTATGACTGGTATTGGATTATCTATTGTAGGTCTTATGATTGGCATTGGACTATCTATTGTATTTCCTATGACTGGTATTGGATTATCTATTGTAGGTCTTATGACTGGTATTGGACTATCTATTGTAGGTCTTATGACTGGTAGTGGATTATCTATTGTAAATCTTATTAGTGGTATTGGATTATCTATTGTAGGTTTTATGACTGGTATTGGATTATCTATTGTAGGTCTTATGACTTGTATTGGACTATCTATTGTAGGTCTTATGACTGGTATTGGATTATCTATTGTAGGTCTTATGACTGGTATTGGATTATCTATTATAGGTCTTATGACTGGTATTGGACTATCTATTGTATTTCCTATGATTGGTATTGGATTATCTATTGTAGGTCTTATGACTGGTATTGGACTATCTATTGTATTTCCTATGACTGGTATTGGAATAGCTATTGTAGGTCTTATGACTGGTATTGGACTATCTATTGTAGGTCTTATGACTGGTATTGGACTATCTATTGTAATTCCTATGACTGGTATTGGAATAGCTATTGTATTTCCTATGATTAGTATTTGACTTTCTAGTATAAGTTCTAAGATTTACTTGTGTTAGGAGGCTGACGCTAATATAATAGTAAATTGACAAAAAAACGATTTATATACATAATGAAGTGATTTATTTTGTGTGGAGCATGCTACATGTTTCGACAGGTCTGTTTTCTTCAAGTACTATACTTGAAGACGATAGTTAGATCAAAATTACAAAATTTATAAAATTCTAATATTTTAAAACAGAGTAAATAGTCTATTATAAAATGTAAGGATAGTGAAGAAAGTAATCCCAACTAATCACACTAGTCTAAGTCTAATTATCAATCAGTTAATATTTATTTCTGTTAACTCTCCCAACTAATCACACTAGTATTAATCTAGTTATCAATCAGTTAATAGTTATTTCTGTTAACTTTCCCAACAAATCACACTAGTTTAAGTCTAATTATCAATCAGTTAATAGTTATTTCTGTTAATAGACATTAATTACTAAATCGTTATTATTATTCGTTTCGACTTCTAACCTGATGCCGTCTTCAGGAAAATCCTATGAAGGATGTTGTTGTTGTTGTTGCTGTTGTCGTGCAAAGCTAAACAATGGGTTATCTACGTTCTTTCCACTGGTAGAGGGTGGAGTTGAGGAACCGAACCCCGAGATGAACTATTTCTGTACTGGTAGTGGCCATCCGTTCCTCTGAGGTCTTCATACCATCCAAGAAGTCCTTCTTGGGACTTCCACGAAGACGTCAGCAGACTAACAGCGAAATGTTTGATAAAAACTATTTGGCAGTTAACATACATACAATTTATTAACAATTAACATATAAAAACAAGTAAGCAATTAATAATTAGTCCTAGGTGATAATACTGGTTATTAACCGTGAAGAACGATCGATATCCGATCGGCACTACCTTACAGTACAGTTAAGTTGATGAACAACGATCGATATCCAATTGCCACTACCTTACAGTACCGTTAAGTTGATGAACAACGACTGATATCCGATTGGCACTACCTTACAGTACCGTTAAGTTGATGAACAACGATCGATATCCGATTGCCACTACCTTACAGTACCGTTAAGTTGATGAACAACGATCGATATCCAATACTGTAAGGTAGTGGCAATTGGATATCGATCGTTGTTCATCGACTTAACTGTACTGTAAGTTAGTGGCAACAGTTAAGTTAATGAACAACGACTGATATCCAATTGCCACTACCTTACAGTACAGTTAAGTTGATGAACAACGATCGATATCCAATTGGCACTACCTTACAGTACCGTTAAGTTGATGAACAACGACTGATATCCGATTGGCACTACCTTACAGTACGGTTAAGTTGATGAACAACGGCTGATATCCGATTGGCACTACCTTACAGTACCGTTAAGTTGATGAACAACGACTGATATCCAATTGCCACTACCTTACAGTACCGTTAAGTTAATGAACAACGACTGATATACAATTGCCACTACCTTACAGTACAGTTAAGTTGATGAACAACGATCGATATCCAATTGGCACTAACTTACAGTACAGTTAAGTCGATGAACAACGATCGATATCCGATTGCCACTACATTACAGTACAGTTAAATTGATGAACAACGACTGATATCCGATTGCCACTACCTTACAGTACAGTTAAGTCGATGAACAACGATCGATATCCGATTGCCACTACCTTACAGTACAGTTAAGTTGATGAATAACGACTGATATCCGATTGCCACTACCTTACAGTACAGTTAAGTTGATGAGCAACGATTGATATCCGATTGCCACTACCTTACAGTACAGTTAAGTTAATGAACAACGATTGATATCCGATTGCCACTACCTTACAGTACAGTTAAGTTAATGAACAAGGATTGATATCCAATTGCCACTACCTTACAGTACAGTTAAGTTGATGACAGCTTTGTTTTCTGGATCCATATTTTGCTAAAAAGACTAAATTTACAACTTCGTCTTTTAATTATTTTGTTTATGTTTTAGCACAAAACTACAAAATGTGTTATAACAGAGAGGAGTCGAACTCGAGATTTTAGCATTGTATGTTCTTGAACTTACAGCTGACCCATCGAGGGGATTTTATTTTAATCTGAGGAAACTAGCCTTTGAGAAAATGTGTTCTTAAGACAACGTGATAGCTAATGTCATTCAGACTCATTGGTCAATTTAGTGACCTGACATCATTGGTCCAAGACATATTACTGAAACTTTTAGTTTATTCTATAGTTTGATAGATTAACGCTAACTTAAAAATCTAAAACAAAATTAATATAATTAGTCTTAATTAACAGTAACAGACAAACAACAACAAGCCTCTATAATCATTCTACCTTACGTCATCTTTCGGGACCTTGCTGTCAAAGGTGTTCTCGGCCTAAAGTACTTACCGCCATCTTTTAGTGAGAAACCAAACTATATGTTAATATTTCTCTGTCTTACGTAATCAACACAGCACAAATAGCTCATTGTGTACCTTTGCGCTGGACAACAACAACAGCAAAGAAAAAAAACTCTCTCTTTATTCATTGTTTTTTCTTCAGTAAGTTAAAATCCACCTTTGTTGTTTCTCGGGCTTAATTAAACGGATTTCATTGGCTTCGAAAACATTTTTAGACCCAAAGTATCTGTTATTCACTGTCATCTATTAGTAAGAAATAGAACTATATTTAAATATTTTCATTCAGTAAGCCGAGTTCTGTCCATTGTTGTTTCTCAGGTCTAACTAAATTTATTTCACTAGCATCTGTTTGTGGTATAATAAAAATAAATAACGTCGTAAACGATACTGAAGCCTAGCAAGCGAAATAATTGTTTTAAACAAGAAGTTAACTGCACAAGTTTTTTTTTGGTTTTGTTTTCCAAATTCCTCTTAATTTGTTCATTGCGGCTCGAAATCACAGTTGTGTAATAACCAATATTTCAGATCTATCGCTTAATATATTTCAACAGATTTAGGCGTTTAAACCATCTCGTACATTCAGGGACCTTTCTGTTGGATTATTCGATTAAAAAAAAGGGATAACACGAAGTCCTGTTCATTTAACTATAACGAAATCATTTTCTATCTTTGAATACAGGTGCGACAAGATAGCTTATCTAATTATCTCTGATAGGCCTATCTAATGCTCTCTGATAGGCCTATTTAATGCTCGCTGATAGGCCTATCTGATGCTCTCTGATAGGCCTATCTAATGGTATCTGATATGCCTATCTAATGATCTCTGATAGGCCTACCTATTGCTCGCTGATAGGCCTATCTGATGATCTCTGATAGGCCTATCTAATGCTTTCTGAGAGGCCTATCTAATGCTTTCTGATATGCCTATCTAATGCTCTCTGATAGGCCTAATCCGACAATTTCACTTACTTGCTAATTTCTTTCGTTTCACGAAACGTACTTCATACTTCTCATTACTTCATCATGAACACAAATTTAATGTTCCAAAACTGAACTAACTAATCGACCAACAAATCTAATGTTCCAAAATTGAACTAACTAATCGACCAACAAATTTAATGTTCCAAAACTGAACTAACTAATCGACCAACAAATCTAATGTTCCAAAATTGAACTAACTAATCGACCAACAAATCTAATGTTCCAAAACTGAACTAACTAATCGACCAACAAATCTAATGTTCCAAAACTGAAATAACTAATCGACCAACAAATCTAATGTTCCAAAACTGAAATAACTAATCGACCATGAAGATCTAAGTGTTAAAATAAAATGTACTACATACTAGAACCACGAAGATCTAAGTGTTAAAATAAAATATACTACATACTAGAACCACGAAGATCTAAGTGTTAAAATAAAATATACTACATACTAGAACCACGAAGACCTAAGTGTTAAAATAAAATATACTACATACTAGAACCACGAAGATCTAAGTGTTAAAATAAAATATACTACATACTAGAACCACGAAGATCTAAGTGTTAAAAATAAAATATACTACATACTAAAACCACGAAGATCTAAGTGTTAAAATAAAATATACTATATACTAGAACCACGAAGATCTAAGTGTTAAAATAAAATATACTATATACTAGAACCACAAAGATCTAAGTGTTAAAATAAAATATACTACATACTAAAACCACGAAGATCTAAGTGTTAAAATAAAATATACTACATACTAGAACCACGAAGATCTAAGTGTTAAAATAAAATATACTACATACTAGAACCACGAAGATCTAAGTGTTAAAATAAAATATACTACATACTAAAACCACGAAGATCTAAGTTGTTGTTTTTTCTACGAAGATGTTCCATATTAATTTAACCATCTTATTTATGTTCTTAGATAAGTTCGTTAATACTTAAATCACGTTGCCAAAATAGAAAATGTTCTTATTTTTATTTCTGTATTTAAATACAGAAATGATTTGTTAAAGCGTATATGTATATACGGAAATGAAATTTCGCTTTAATTTACACAAACCCTTAGAATTTGTGATCAAATTATTTGGCTAGTTGCGATGATTCATTAAATCATATAATCAAATATAGTTTATTAAAATACGTTGTATGTTTCCAACTATATTCGCTAGATAGCAGCACCATCACAATTGAAACAACTGAGTTCTCACAAACAACTCACGGCCTGGTGGTTAGGATACTCGATTCGCAATGTATGTGTGGGTTCAAATCTCATCACCGAATATGCTCGCCCTTTCAGCTGTGGGAGCGTTATAATATTACGATCGATCCCACTATCCGTTGATAAAAGAGTAGTCCAAGAGTTGAGTTAAGAGGTGTTAACTAACTGTCTTCCTTTCGAAATAGCCCTCGAGTAGCTTTGTGCGAAATTCAATAAATATACAAACAAAACATAAGCCAGCATATTTAACTGATTAAATAACTAATTTTATGTTTTCTGGTGTAAAATATAATGGAATTTAAAAGCTAAAATGACATAAAATAGAAAATGATTTAATGCTTCATACTAATTTAAAAAAAAAAGTCTTGCAAATAATTCTGTTTGTCACATTTATTCACAGGTCTTGTAAATATTTTTGTTTATTCACAGGTCCTGTAAATAATTCTGTTTGTCACATTTATTCACATGTCCTGTAAATAATTCTGTTTGTCACATTTATTCACATGTCCTGTAAATAATTCAGTTGATCACATTCATTCACAGGTCCTGTAAATAATTCAGTTGATCACATTCATTCACAGGTCCTGTAAATAATTCAGTTGATCACATTCATTCACAGGTCCTG